AGCGTGAGCGTTGGTAAGCGTGTGTGTGTGTAAGAGAGTCAGTGAGATATAGAGAGTCAGAGAGTTAGGAAGGGAGAAGGTGCGTGAAAGACGAGAGAGTAACGCGAGATTAACGAGCGAGCGCGAACTAAGAGCGTAGGGCAGAGGCCCGAAACGAGTGTATTTCCAATAAGTGTATTCAGCGTGATTTAATTAAAGACGAAAATGGAAAACCGACCCCTCGTGTGATTATTAATCTCCGAATCGAGAACTCCTACGAGCCACCGACGAACCATCCGCGACAAAGTTTCGAGACAGAGTTGAGATACCGCGAGTCAATAGTACGAAAGCAGTTAACAACTCGTATAATATATTAACCCACTACCACACGGATGATATATTACATCGTCAATTTTCACAAAATTCTATATACCGGACGAAACACGTCTTGACGCGTTTGCACACAGATCGAGACTACGGGCCTTGATCGAATAACCTCTTGACGAGACTGATGAACACGCACGCACGTACAGACATGTTTACGATTCGCGACTTTGAAAATGACAATCGGACGCAGGCGTCGTGGGCGTGAGTTTGACCCCCCCCCTCCCCCGCCTCTCTCCGTACTCGCGAGTAATGCCGCGTGCACACATGCATCCCGCACTTACCACGCTCGAGATACATTACGACGCGGTAGCCAATTATTCTTTCGCTTATACGAAAAAGCGATAAATTAACTGGCTACCGCGTCGCGTTTCGCCGTGCGATGTGAGAGTTGCGGATGAATTAGACGAGAGTTTAGAGGGAAATTGGATACGAGGTAGGCGATAAACCGAGAGAAAGGTAGGAAGAAGAGCTTAAATTTAGGATAGGATAATAGTTGCAGTAGGAAAGTATTAATTAGTAAAGGAAAAGAGCGTTAAATATTTTAGAGAGAGGAGAGGTTAGGTGAGAGAAAGCGGGAGAAAATCGCGGTGCGTTCCAAAAGGGAGCGAGATTTGCGCCACGCATAGAGTAGGTAGCGACACTAGACACTAGACGGAACGGCTTAAGCATAGAGGTAGCGGTTAAGGAGATTGGCTGGAAGAAGAGCGTGCACGTGGGGCGCACAGGATGGAGGAAGAGACAGGTGAGAGTTAGAAGGCAGCAATAACGAATAAAGATGAGAATCCGGCTACAGTGTCGGATTGCTCATGCAGTGAGAAAACGGATAAGGAAGTTTTTGCCACACCAAAAGAAGAAAAAAGAGGAAAAGGAAGACTTACAAAGGAGGAGTTCAGAAGGAGAGAAAGATCGCGCTCGCTCAGCATACTGGAGTTTATGACAAGTGATAACAGTACGGCATGCGAGTTAGCAAAAGCCAAGAGGAAAAGAGAGGAAAACGAACAACGTACGATGGAAATTTTCAAGAGAGATAACAAGACAGTGAGAACGCCACCAGGTATGGACAAAGCGAAGGATGGAGCCGGTGGGGTAGGTAAGAAGAAAGAAGAGGAAGGAGTTCTGTCAGCAACAAAGAAGGATGAGGAGGACGGTTCGCTACTAGCCGTCTTGAGAGAGATTAGAAACGAAATGAGGGATCTGAGGGAAGAGATGAGAGAGATGAGAGAGAGGATGAACGTCTTAGAAGAGGGTCGGAGAAAAAAAGAAGAAAAAGTAGAGGAAAGGATGGATAAGATAGAAGTGAGGCTATCGAAGATCGAACGAAGAAGTGAAAACATAACGGATGAAACGACCAGCGGCAAAATGGAGGAGATCGTGGGAAAGGTGGCGGAGCTGGTGAGGAAGAGAGAAAGAAATATAAAGGAAAGGAAGGAAAAGAAAAATAATTTAGTGATCAGAGGACTACATAAAGAGGAAAACAAGAGCTTAATAGACACAGCAGAGACGTTTCTGGAGAAGGAGTTTGGTGCAAGAGCGCGAGTGAAGAAAATGCGGCCAGCAGGCAGAGTAGGAGGAGAGATAATAATAGTCGAAATGGACTGCTGGGAAGCGAAGGATAACATCATGAAGGAGAAGAAGAAACTGGGAAGTAAGAAAATTTTCATTGATCACGATTTGACCTTTGAAGACAGAGAAGTGCAAAGACGGATAAAAGAAAGGGCATGGAAAGAGAAAACAGAAGGAAAATGGGTGAAAATAGGTTTTAGGAAGCTAGAGATACAAGGCAGAAAGTATTGTTATGCCGCGTTGCCGATTGGTGACGGCTTACGGCAAAACGTTTATTATTTTCGGGATATCTTGACCTTACGAGTTGGGACTCGGTAGGCACAGGCGGGCAGACTAGGAAGCGGTCGGGTTCGCAGGTAGAACAAAAGGTGTAGGCGTCGTTAAATGAACTTCACTTCGTTTTACTTTATATTGGAGCTTTATTTCAGCGCTCCTGTTACACTCACTAACTTACACTTGTAGTTGCCTTTCACAATTA